TCTAACCTCTCGATCATCGAATACGTGCGGTTGACAAATCCTTGAAATTATTAGACACTCACTCTATCGATCCTTAAACGCTTTCGATCGATTACTATCGATTCGATTAGATTCGATCGATCGATTTTTTTTTGCTCTCACGCCAGTGAAATATTTCGAATTCGTAGGATAACGTTGTTGGGAAATTCGGTGAAAAAAAAAAAGAAATGAAAATTTGTTTGCAATTTCATAGACGCGCATATTATAGAATTATGGAATTTTTTATTAAATTTTTTAAGTTTCGGCCGACATAAATTAAATGACTTAACTCAAATGCTGTTTAATTAATTCGTACGTACATGAAGTAACTTTGCAGTTATAAACGATGAGATTTTAAATGTAATACGAAGTTAAGAGAGAAAAGGAAGTTTAAAAAGAATATCAATTTTAGTTTCCACGTTTCATCTCGAAATCCGGAGATAGGTATTTCGTGATTCAAGAAGATTAAAGGCCACGAAGGAATAACGTAGGAGGAATCGTAATAACAAGAAGTGGTACGCGAATAAACGCCGTTCCGACCGGAAAGGAAAAGCCTCCTCTCCTCTATATTTCTTTCTTTTCTTGTTTTCTTTTTTTTTTTCCTTTCGCGTTTTTTCTCTACGTCACACAGTCGTCCCTTGCGATTAGTTTTTTCATACGAAAAAACAAAAAGAATTCTTCCTTCCTTTCTCTCATTTTTCATTTCCCTTTAATTTTTTTTTTCTTTTTTTTTTTTTGTTTTTCTTCGGAAGAAGTTATATAATTTAAGTCGATTGCATTGTTAGTCGATCGTTTTCGGGAAGAAAAACAAAAGAACAAAATAAATAAATAAATAAATAAATAAATAAATAAACATAAAAGGGATAAATAAAAATAAGAACGAGTTCGAATAAATTGTAGAAAAAGAAGTAAAGGAAAGGTCACAAGTTACCTTTTATATTAAAAAAAAAAAAAAAAAAAAAAAAAAAAAAAAAGTACGGGGAAAAAAAAATAACACAAAAAGGTTCGGTCTCTCTCCGATAAGCCCATTCGATTGGGTGTTTCGTATAGTACGATAATAATTGGAGCGTCAGGATGATTTATAGATGCCTATAAATTCGCAAGGGATATTGCAAATGTACGGACAAAGCATGAACATCGTACGTCTCTTTATCGTTCGACCCCTCCGATCTTTTCGAAGTTAATAAAACCTATTGAACCTACGTAAAGAAGAGGTCGGAAAATAAGAGAAAGAGAGAGAGAGAGAGAGAGAAAAATTTATATACAGTATACATATACATATAATGAAAAGAGGCCTGTCTCTTCGTATTTACCCTTCGGCTCGTGCTAAGTGCGTTTCTTATTGGCGGATTCCATCGGAGGAATGCAAGACGTAGACTCGGCCAAGTTTATCCATTACGTCGCATGAATAAAAACACCTGCTACCCGAAAGTTCGATCGATGAGTAATCCCTCATGTTTTCTCTCTCTCTGTCTCTCTCTCTCTGTCTCTCTCTCTCTCTCTCTGTCCTCTTTCGTCTTGCCCCTCATTCTGGCATCCTCATTGTTTCTTACCCATTGGAATTCTCTTTAGCGTGTGACGTTAAAGAGGACGAAATCAAGCAAGAAGGGATATTTATTATTAATCACCGAGAACGTGTAATGTTGCAGTATTTGTTACGGATGGTGATTTGAAAAGAAAGAGAGAGAGAGAGAGAGAAAAAAGAAAAGAAGATATTTACTACACAAGGATTTATACGTCCTTTATAGTATAAATAATATTCGTTTGAAATAAAGAAAAAAAAAAAAAAAAAGAAAAAAAAGAAAAAAAAAAGGGAAAAAAAATATTTGTCAAATAAAGATGACGAAATATAATGGTCAGAGTTTAATATTAAATGATATGAGTTATTATAGCTCGTTTAGAACGTCGTATCTTGCATAAGAGAAGAGCGACAGAAAGGGAGATATATATATATATATTTAGAGAGAGAGAGAGAGAGAGAGAGAGAGAGAGAGAGAGCATGCTTGCTTGCGAAAGGGATGGCTTTGGATGGCTTCTCAGCAAGATTGAAAGCCAAGATTTTCGAGCACAATGGATGTGACTTCTACGATCCAGGAGTAGAAGAGGAGAACCTCTCTCGTTTTTGCCTCTCGTCCTCTATGTGCTTGTATTGCCAGGACAATAGAAATCTATGATAGATTGTCGGATCTAATTTTGTTTGACTTTGATATTTCCCTATGAGAGAGATAGAGATAGAGAGAGAGAGAGAGAGAGAGAGAGAAAGAGAGAAAGAGAGAGACATAGATCATTGTAATATTGAATATTTTCATACGATTTTGTCCTTTTAAATCAACTATCATAGAGATTAATAATAGGATATTTCGTTTTTCTACGACGAAAATGAAAATGTAAAGGTAAATAATTCACAGACGGTGCGCACATAGACGCGAAAGGATATAAATTGAAATATCGGCACGAATTCCATTTTCTCTGTTAATTTTGCACAAGCTTTACGTTACTTTCATCGGCGTACGTTAAAAGTTAGCAGAGTTTAGAGTACTCTCTCTCTCTCTCTCTCTCTCACTCTCTTTCTCTCTATTATTTTCTCATTCTCTCAATAAATCGCGTTCCACGCTCTGAGTTTATTTCCAGTAGTACCGAGCCAATAACAATAACTAGTAGAAATAGAGCCGTCGTATGCTCTCTCTCCTTAACGTTATAAAATCAAATTGAGAAATTCGCGAGAAGCGAGAAAATGCGCGTGCGTTAGATGCAAAAGTTTTTGAATACGATTAAGAAAGACCATTAACTATGTCTATACGGAGATGAACGTTTCCAAAATACATAGAAATGAAATAAAACGACAACGATAAAATTTATAGAGAGAGAGAGAGAGAGAGAGAGAGAGAGAGAGAGAGAGAGAGAAAGAGAGAGAGGATAATACGCCCTTTACTAAAAACTTAAACAAATTAAAAGTTAGGCAAGTTTTTTCGTTTCCTCTTTTCTTTTTTTCTTTTTTTTTCTTTCCTTTTTATTTATTTTTATTTCTTTTTTATTTCTTACTCTTATACATTTCTCATGGAATATAAAAATAGCAATTGGAAAACATAGTACGTTTATACATGCAATATGAAAATGATGAACGACGAGACAAGATAACCTCGATGTTTCTTTCGATCGAGCTAAAAAACCAGGTCGACCTGGAGACTTCATCAAATCTCGACTAGATCGCCGCGTCTGGTTTTTGAGCTTTTGAAAGAACGTAGTACGCACTGATTCTGAGGTTTTCTTTAATTCTACCATTTTTTTTTCCTTCTCTTTTCTTCTCCTTCTTCTTCCTCCGGTTTTTTTTTGGCGTTGTTATTTCGGCTTTCTTTTCTTTTTTCTTTTTTTTTCTTTTTTTTTCTTTTTCTATTTCTCTCTCTCTCTCTCTCTCTCTCTCTCTCTCCTTCTTCTTTCTTCTTATACGTCGAGTTATCTCACGTACGTGCTATATCATTAATGTAAATATATATACGATGCGTTCTAGCACATATTTAATGTAGCCCGCGAATAATCGCACGTTATCGTTCAACAAAAATTTAATGAACGTTTTTAATCTAACGCGCGATCATCTATGTATTTATGTTATGTCAAGTAAATACGTGAAACATACATTTTGTCATACGACATAAATCGACGGAATCGTGTTTTTCATGTTTTCCATGAATAATCACCGTTCTGAGGATACAATAAAGAAGTCCGACAAATTGATGATAGATAAGTTAGATTTTATCCATCGACCCATCCATCCATCCAACCAACCAACCAACCAACCAACCATCCATTTGTCTATCTATCTGTCTATCTATCCATCTATCTATCTATCTATCCGTAAACGTTGTTTACGAAACGTTTCTTCAACGACAGGAGCTCACGATCGAAAGTTTATTCTCTCTTCTTATTTTGTCTTTCATTGAATTCAATCAATTCTAGTCGGATTGCGTTAACCTGAAAACTTTTCCATTTTAGCTTTCAAAGTATCTTGTACTACGGACGATTAACTCCTTAACGAGAGAACTATTTGAATAAGTCGATTTCTGTATATGTAGAATTTTGAATGAGGATTGTTGCTTTATTTAAAATAAAAAGGAAAGATTAAAATTTCTAAATCTGTTTTTTTTTTCTTTTTTTGTAAATCTTCAAAACGCCGATTCAATTGCATTTACACCTTTGCCCGATCAGAGCGTCGAAATCAAAAAATGATTCGAACGAGAGAAAAAAAAAAAAAAAAGAAGAAGAAGCAATTACGACTCAAAAAAGTAAAGATTAAACTTACTTTTAAAAAAGATAACCTAAACGCTATACCTAACTACTTATCTATCTAAACGTTTCCTTGTTAAATTCTCTTAGGTATTAATCTCGACGTTGAGGAAAAAGCCAAGTTTGTTTGGTACTCACTTTTACCGATCGAAACTTTCGAATGGTTTTTCCTTCTTTTTTTTCCCTCCTCCCCTTCTTTTTGCCCCATTTCTGTTTTTTTTTTCTTTTTTTTTTTTTTTTTTTTTTTACTTCTTTTTTCTTGTTTTATCGTCGAACCTTTTGTACAAAACTAATCTCACCTTCTTCTCGAGAAACTTCGCTATTTACAGATATTACGATCTTTTTAAAGAGCTTACTTTACTTCATAGAATCGATCAGTTTTTCATTCTTGAAAATGATATCGTTATAAAACGATTATCGTTAATTATACGATAAGTCGAGAAATACGATAGTATTCCTTTTAATGTTATACACATTTTCGATTAATGGATATATTTACTATTATTATAAATATGAGAAATATTTGAATGAGAAATTTTGTTTCTTTTTAAATAGATCATCGTTTCTTAAGATAGATCGTTCATCGTCATATTCTTTTTTTTGTTCTTTTTTTTTTTTTCTTCTTCTTCTTCTTCTTTACCGTAATCGTACGTATAATTAAAAAACGTAGAATTTTATATTTTTCATTCATTTTTTTTCAGTCCTGGACCGATTACAATCTACAATGGAATCAATCGGAATATGGCGGAGTGAAAGACGTCCATATAACACCGAACAAGCTTTGGAAACCGGATATCCTCATGTATAATAGGTAATCTGGTCACGTTACGCTTCTGCAAAACTGCTTTAGCCCGTAACATCGCGATTCCGCTAAAATCCCATAAATTTCGATATTGATGATTCGTCTTATACGTTTCCTAATTCGCGTCTATTAATCTATCGATCGCGTAAACGTATTATCATCATTATTAAATTAAAAACGTATCGCATTTATAAATCGTGTGACGCGTTTAAAATCGATAATACGAAAACATATAAAAGATATTTAAAAGAAATAGCCTATATATAAATCGTCGTCGTTTGTTAAGAGAAAAAAAAAAAAAAAGTAAACAAAGAAAAAAAAAAGAAAGGAAAAAAAGAGAAGAAATCACGTAACTCAATCGCGCCATTCAATGTTCGGCATATCAAACGGATTATAACAATGCTGACATTAACGTAATTTAGTTTGATTTAAATTTGACTAAATAAACGTAACGTTTAATTAGAGTATTAAATTGAATTTAATCTATGTACGCATCGTGACCGTGACGGAGACAGGAGAACACAGACGGGACATAGTTCGAATTGAAAATCGATCGAGATTGACGTGTGCGCGGAATCAACGGAAATTGAAATGAAAATATCGGTCGGATAGATTAGTCGACATTCGTATCGTAATCTGTCGTTACGCGGAATGCTCCTCGTCGTTTCTATACGATAAGCGCCGAAGCAAAAATATTTTTTAAGCCAATCTTTTATAAATCGTATTTCATTCGACAAATATTCGATAGATATACGAGTAAACATTACGGATAAATAAACAAAGAAACAAAGAAATAAACAAAAATATATAATGAACGGTTCCGGGTCGTTAAAAGCAAAAAAAAAAAAAATAAAAAAAAAAGCAAAGAAGAAAAATAAATAAATAATAAAAAAGAAAGAAAAAAAAAAAGAAAAAGAAAAACGCATATCTCGCATTTTATAGAAAACTAAGATTTTGAGAATGTTTCAGAGAAACCTCTTCAGAAGTGACTATGATATCGTGCTGCTTGCGTACTTGCGCTTTTATGCGAGTTCGAAATTATTTCTTGTTTACCTTTTACTTTTCTTTTATATCCTTTTCTCTTCTCTCATTTTTTCATCTAATATATTATATATACCCTCTCGTTATATAATTTTGTCACTTTGTTACTTTTTTCTTTTTTCTTTTTTTTTTTTTTTCTATATTGTTCTTTTTTCTCTTTGTTCTTTTTCTCTTCTTCGTTTTAGTTTTTTTTTCTTTTTTTTTTTCTTTTTTTTTTCTTTTTAATTTTATTTCACTCTCACAGTCTATTCGTCGAACGACTAGACAGAGTAAATCAAATTTTTTTTCTTCCTTTCTCTCCCATTTTATGTAATGAGAATAATTTAAAAGTGACATTAAGGGTACGTAAATTTTCTCCGAGTGTTGCTTTGCATTTTATTATAAAGTATTATTACTATCTATATAGGTATATATGCGTATATATATATATATATACTCGAGAAAACCTATTCCCGATATGCATGCCTTCATTTGATACTTAGAAAAATATATTATATTTATAAATATTACATATATATATATATATATACATATACATATACATATATATATATATGTATTTATGTGTATATATGTATATATATATATATACACACACTCACATCTATTTGTAATATGTATACATACGTTTTTTCAGTTGTATATACTACTACCTACGTTGACTTTTAATCCCGTAGTAAAATATATTTTAAACGAGCCGACCGGTTTTTCACGTCGTTCGTATCGAATGAAATTGAACCCGATACTGAGAAAAGAAAAAAATATAATTTAAAAAAAACTGGCTTAAAAAGGAAAGAGCGAGATATAAAAAGTAAGGAAAGAAAAATATAAATCGGGAAATTTACATTAATAATTTTCGCGTATTGTAAAGTCGTCGTCGGCTCGTAAAAACAATCTCTCTCACTATCTATCTATCTATCTAACTAACTATCTATCTATCTATCTATCTATCTCTATCTCTCTCTATTTCTCTTTCTCTCTCTTTCTCTCTCTCTCTCTCTCTCTCTCTCTCTGTCTCTCTCTGTCTCTCTCTCTCTCTCTCTCTCTCTCTCTCTCTCTCTTTTTGGCACTAAATTATATTACAGATTACGAGAGAAAAGCAAGATTCATAGTCGCATAATAACTATCGATCATTTTCATTTTTCAAAGAGCGTTTTTTCGAGCTTCTCACGGCGTTCCATATAATTTTCATAAAACGGATATTACACATTTAAATAATTGAAATTTTACTTCCGCAATACGAAATAGAAATTGGACATATACACGTATTATTTATTTATTAGATCAACGTCGTGATAAGCTTGCTTTTCTTAACCCGCTATCTTTCTCATAGCAACTAGATTAATTAGTCTTAGGTATTTATAGATCGCCACTGTACATCGTGATCGGGGCCCTCCTACGTGGTTAGCCGTCACTTCGACGTGTTAATCCACGTATCGATGGTCCCGAATATTAAAAATACGATCGTCCTTCGCCATTGATCGATACCACGACGTTATTAAGAATCGATCGATCTAAATTTTCATCGATAAATATCATTTACGCGGGGTCGAAGGATCGAATTATTTTTCGAGCAAAAAAAAAAAAAAGAAAAAAAAAGAGGAGAAAAAAGAAAATATCACAGATTGTCTCAGCGATGTGAGAAAGAAAAAAGAAAAGAAGAATTTATTCGTTTGACGAAACAATTTAATGAATATTTATTATCTTAAAATTTTATTCATATTCGCGTTAACATTGTTTCACAAAATTTTGAAAAATATAAATCGTATCCGGATCCGTTGATCGCTCGACGATTAATCTTTATTCGAACGTACAAGGTATCGCAAAATTAGAATATTTTTCATCGACCACGTCCAACGTGGATATATCGATATTAATCCAATTAAACGTTTACTTGTTACCCCGCGTCGTACTATTTTGCAGATTGAAAGTTTGTTTTGTAAAGGAAAAAAAAAAAAACAAAGAAAAAAAAATTGTTGGCAACGTCGTTCCACGTTTCATTGATATCGATTTCGAGAGAAGAAGGAAAGAAGAGAGAAAGAGAAAAAAAAAGAAAGATAGAAAAGAAGAAAAAAAATTTCACAAATAACACGAATCTTCCGAATTAATAATGTCAATTATAAATTCATTTCTATTGATCCTGTCTTCTTTTCTTTTTTTTTCTTTTTTTTTTGTCTTCCACTCTTTTATCTTTAATATTATTTATCGACGAAGAAAAAATCGTATTATCGGTCGTTTGACTTTTGACCGGATTGGGGGAGGATAAAAAAAAAAAAAGAATTGGAAATCAAAACGCATGCATTTGTTAAATGTACCGTAAGTAAGTCAGCCTTCTCTCCCTTCCTCCCCCGAAGGGTAGAAAAACGCTTTAGTCGAACGATTTAATGCGAAAAAAAAAAATAAATAGAAAAGCTGAGCTTTCTCTCTCTCTCTCTCTCTCTCTCCCTCGGCATATAAGGAACTTGTAAAACCAGTCTCGAGTATTTCGCACTATCTCAAGAGATACTTTTAGTCGAAGGTACCATAGAATTTAAGCAACCACATAATCCCTTGAGGTTACGGTATAGGACTGAATTGAGCATGCGACTCGTAAAATCCTTTTTTCGTCGAGGGCCATTACCCTTCGGCCAGTATCCTTCGAGGTTTTGTTCAAACGTCGTCGAACGCGATCGATCGTTCATACAATTTTTATGAATGAAAATACGTCGGCTACGATTTATGATTCAACGACGTACGTTCCATATGATTTATCGTATACGTCATTTAGATCGTTGAGATAATATTTGATAATTAATGAAAGTATTAAAAGTAGAAACAAGAAACAAGAAAAAGAAAGAAATGTTATAAAAAGAAAAAAACATTCGATCCGATTGTCCCACGTCGTTCGTTGTTAATTACCATTTAATGGTAATAATAATAATAATAATAATAATATATTATTATTATTATTTATATTTATTATTATTTATATAATAATAATAATTATTATTATAATTAATAATATTATTATTATAATCATTTTAACGATATCGTATAGAAATGCATGTATATATTAATACATAATAAATTTCGATCGATTCTTGGTCGTTTGTAAAAATCGTAAAGCGTTATCGATCGTTGGCGAGCGGCGCTCGTAATTATGTGGATAATTAATTGAATCGCGACGTCAGGCTACCCCGTTACTGCGTACCACCGCAGGACCGGGCCCGGTGCCCGCTCCCTTGCCTCGTCCGTTTAACGAACGAGAGCCGTTTGTCCATTTCGTTTTGCCACTCGCAACCAAATCGCAACCCTCCCTCGATCAAATATAGACAGAAATCTTCAGAGGGAAAAAGGAATGACCAAGAAACTCCGAGCATGAGTCCTCGTGAGGGATGGAATGTTTTTATTGCATACGATTAAACAATTACAATTCGAACGAAGTTATGCGAATCGATATGATCCTTATGAGGGATACATAAACGTGATTTATCAAGGAATCATATTCCTTTTTAATTGTTTTTCTTTTTTTCTTACGATAAGTTAATTACGAGGGGAGAAAAATCACGAAAAATAAAGTTGTCTCTCTCGAGAATGAAGGGATGTTGCTAATCGTTTCGTATAACGTTCGAGCATGTTTTTTCTTTGTACGAAGGGAGAAAAATTTTTTACAAAGTCTCTTCCCTAAAAATACTTTATAACGGGAAGAATTTTTTCAAGTATCATTATCTTGCTTCGCCTTTAGAGAGGAAGGATAATTAGCGATTTATCCCACCCTCTCTCTCTCTCTCTCTCTCTCTCTCTTTCTGTCTCTCTTTCTCTCTTTCCTAAAATCGTCTAATCCGTCTAACTTATCTATCTTCTTTCGGCGAACGAGCTTAATGGTATATTCTATTTATTTTCCATATACAAAAATATTCAAATATATTTCTTTCTATTTTTCGCTTCTATCATAATATTTCTTTCGAATTATCCATTTTGTAACAGAA